AATCTATGAATCTATGAATCTATGAATGCTTTGAAGACTATGAACTCCCTAAAAGCACTGAGCATGTAATTTCTTTCTTCATAATATCTCAACTTTTTTTTTGGTTGTCTTGTTTTAAGACCATTTTGAATTTAAATATTGTAGACTTAGAACAGATACTTGTTTTATTATAAATTTACATTCAGTGTGTCCATGGTTTTTGTTGTTTTAAATACAATGCACACCTGGCATAGGTACATGGTGTGCCCTAAATATGTATGTATTAAAAAGCCTCTTGTTTCTAGATCGTCTGGCTTTTATATGACTGCAAAGCACAAAGGTTTACCGAATTTGGTATCCTAAGCATAATTGGAAAATGGTAGTATTGTGACTTAATGAAAGAGCAAGGTAACAATGCAGATATGAAAACTTACAGAAGAAATCATAACTTCTCCAAGAGAGATTATGTATTGCTGAGTGGTGCAAAATTATCTGGAGATGCTCTTTCTACACCTGTACTCACCTATTTGTCATCCACAAGTGCTATTCATTTAGATATATTTAGGTTTACTCTTACTATTCAGCCCATGAATTTTGAGTGCTGGAGTCTGGTGTTTGTGGAAATGTTTTCCTCTAGAAAACCAGCCTAATATTTTAAATTTCTGCTGGCTCCTTTGTGAAGGTTAAATGATAGTACATTTATGCATAGCTGATAAGAGAATGTTTTTGACCGAGGGCTTATATATACATGGAGACACGTATATGTGTGTATATATACATATATTCGTTGCATTCTAGTACTAGTAAAAGTTTAGGACAGGAAAAGAGTGGAGCAACTTTTGATACTGTATAGGTTGTGAATATCATGTCTGCTCTTTTTATATGGAGTCTATCGTCTAATAGAGAGAGAGATAGAAAGACAGGCAACTGGTCTCTGGCGTGTAAGTGTGAAAGATGATCACACTGGTTGTAAATATGGCATAATGTTTTCTGTTCATGTGCTATCTGCTCTCTGGTTTTCTATTTGGAGGAAGAGGCGAATCCTGGAGAGGAGTAATTTACTTTCGGTGTGACAGGTGTGATGAAATGCAAATATTTTGATCAGATTAACACGATAGCTGGAGTGCTTCAGGAAGATGGCCGTGTCAAAAATAGGTTGGAGTTAGGTTCAGATTCAAAACAGTTGTTATATGGCACGGGAGTTTGAAAGGAAGCTTTCCCAAGAAAAGCATACTAAGTTAATGAAGGGAAAACCAATTTGATATTCAACTATCTTGGGATGTAAAAGAACTTCAGCAAAGCAAAAATTAGGCTTTGTTGTCTTATCTGCATGGAAAACTTGCTGTTCTTTGCTAACAACCATGGCGCTTTTTGGGTATGGACTGAATTTTCCAGGATTGTCCATTATTAAATAGGAAGCAAAGAGGTAAAACTCTCAACCATGGCTAGGCAGTCCTATTGATGAATGCAATTCATATATCTGTGGAGAAGAATATTTGCACTATGCATAAGGTTTATTCTGGATTCTGAGAAATTAGTTATCCGATACAGTGCTGCAAAAGAGAACACATGAACAGAGAATCATGTCTGGAGGTCTCTAGAAAGCTTTCTGCATATGAACACACCAAAATGCAAGGCTTGAGCAATTTAACTTTATATGTGTGTTGTTTTTTTTTTTTTTTTTAAGAAAATCGAGGGTCACTTGATCTATTGGAGAATCAACTTTATGATTTTGGTTTGGCGATTTTTATTGTATTTAATTATTGGATTTTCCTACTTCACCAAGAACTCTATTTTATTTTATTTTTTTTAAAGGAACAGTGTAGTTTATTTTTCCACTTTTTCTTCATTCTTTCAGATGGTATTAAAAAAAATCTGAGAAAATATACTGAGTTTTGGGAGGGAGACCTTAGATTTTGTCTAATTAAATGAAAGCCTCGACTAACATTGATTTCACTTCACCTTTCCCAGACCTTCACACTTAACGTGCTCTAATCAGTGCAGGGCTTAGGTTAGCTAATAAAGTAGATTTTGTATATATTGTAGTGGGGCTCTCAGTTGCATAAGAAACTCATCAGCAGAATGCTTCAAGTTCAGACTGGGTGCTGTCATAGGATGATTCCATTTTTAGTTTCATGGGAGGAATACAAGTACACATACAGCAATTGCAAAGTAGCCTAATTATGGTGAAGAAAAGTGAAAGTGGGCAGAAAGTGACAAACTGTTGGCAGCAGTAGTTTGGCAGTTCCTTGGAGGGAAGTTGCCACAACTCCTTCCTACAGGCAGAACTTGGGAGCTTGGTGCTGCCCATTTCTCCTCCTGCCAAGTTTTTTTTCCCTTGCCCACCTCTTTGCTGTGGGGTGTGTTTCTTTCCCCCCTCCCTGGGGTGGGAAGCTGCCAGCTGTGCAGTGCTGGGAGAGGGCTCTTTATACGTTTAGGGGAAGCACTTCAGCACGGTGCCTGTGGCCGGTTCGAAGACAGCCCTAGGACAGCAGCGTGCACGGCTGCGCTCGGACGTACAGGGCGCGTGTTACGAGAGACCGTGAGAAATGGGATTTTCTGGTTTGATATAGGAATTGGTATCCTCCTTACTCATGAAAACATTTGTCTTTGGTTTCTGTCTGTGTTCGTATGATAAGCTATTTTAACTACCAATGTATTTTTAACTTTTACAGAGTTGGAAGATGAGGAAGAGTCTGAGAGCTCTTTTTCTTCACCTCCTGATAGTGTCTCAATAGCATCTGACCGATATGATAAAGAGGATGAAGCACCCTCTGATGGTATGTGACACTGTTTACCTTAGAATGTACTGGATTTGCCAGTTTACTACAAACTCATGTAATTGGATCCTCCTGATGCGAGTGTTGGTGTTGGAAACCAGATAAACAGATAAGCAGCACAGCTGGACAGTTTTCTTACCTTTACAAGAACCCTTAAAGGAACTGAAGAGCTCTCTCTAGTGGTCCTAGAGCATAGTGAAGCTGTCTCAAATTTACATTTTTTTAAAAAACTCGTGTTTTTTCATAACAAAGCATCTTCTGTAGATGCTTATGTTTTTAAAGATAGATCAGTGGCTAAACCAATGTGAATATTTGTAGTAACAAATTGTTTCTTAATTCAACATTATCAGATTCTTGCTTAATTTTATTGTGCTGCTTAATGGCTTACTGTATTATTTATCTAATAAATAATGAAACAGTTTACGTGATTGATATTTTTCTGCAAATTCCATGCAGAACAGATTCATAAAATATTAAATTAATTATTCCTACAATGTTTCCTTCCATTAAGACGATCTTTTGTAGAATGTTTTGATTATATAAATTTTAAATTTGAGTTTGCATTTAAAAAAAAAAATAATCTAGGCTCCATAGCTGTTTTCCATGTTGTTTTATTTTATATTCATTAAATTTAATGCTAAATGCAACTGTTCTGAAGACATGAACAATTGAATATTTCAACAGTTAACAAGCTTGCTTTAGCACAGTATCCATACTTTTGAGGTTCGTTTATTGTATACATAATATAAATACCTTCTATGGATAATGTATGACAATAAATTAAGTATACGTACAAATAAATTAACGATGTATATTAATTTGTGGCACTAGAAGTTAGACAGACTTACTAGTGAATGATGTTTTCTGACATGATATGATGATCAAACTGTGCAGCTCCATCTCAAAATACAATTGCTGAATGAAAATATGCTTCCCGCAACATAGCACTCCACATTTTATGTTATCCAGATTATTCCCTTTGGAAACATAAATTGCTTTTATGAGGTATAAAATTATGTCTATTGCAGAACAGGGATAAGTCAAGTACATGCATAAGTGATAAACCTTCTAACCACTGATTCAGAATAACGCAATTTTTTTTATATTCAGAACTCTGTAAAATGTGTAACAATAATAATCACACTTTTTTTTTTTATATTGAGCTGTTGCATTTTGGCAATGTGACCTTCTATTAAAAAAATAAAATGAAGGCTTTTTGCTTTCTGGCTGAAATGTAATTATCAGTCAAATTGAATATAGCTTTTAGAAAACACAAGCTAATTTTCCGAACTACATGACGAATGCAGCTTTCCATGTATCTATTTTTGCTTACAAACATAATCTTAACATTATTTCTAATTGTGACTTAATAACATGGTACTGATTGCATAAAGGATATGTGACAAAATTGTATGGCTATTTAATAGGAGATATGATTATGGATTTATTTCAAACAGTTAAGAAAAAAGTGATAACGTTCATAAACCTAAATAACGAATGGCTGAACAATGCTGATGCAAAAGTATATGAAATACCGTATGAGTTTGTACAGATGGGTGGTTAATTTTTAGCCTATTTTGGCAGTTACGAGAGTAGATACAATAGCTGCCCAACAAGATCTTGGCTAATTTATTCCAGTTTAGACAGAAATAGTGGGTACAATTCTGTAACATTTGAGATTATTTTACCTCACTGGTCTGTCTTCATTTTATGATAAATTCTCTTTAATTATCTGGTGGGAGTGCAGCATGAGGAAAAGTTGAGGAAAGGTGATAGATTTTGATCTGTAAATACTTTCATTTATTGGAGGAGTGTTTCTGTTTTCCTCTTTGAATGTCCAGTGTGTTATTCTAAGACCATTTTGATTTTAACATGGGTAGTCCATCATTCAAGTCTAGCCATCTAGATTATGTATGAAAATGTATGATGGGAGAATCTTATAAGAGGTGGATTGATCCTCAGGTGCATTTTTTTTTCAGTTCTCATAGGCATGAATGGGTTGTTTTGAAGCTTATACTGTGGAGTTTTTTTAGCAATCTGTTAATGTTTAATAATTAAATCCTACTAAAGAAGCTGGATCCGTAAGGTAGCCTGTTTGATCTTACATGGTTACCAGTTTAGTTCAGCAG